TCAGTTAAACAATGTTGACGCAGTGGTAGCTTGATCTTGTTGTATTGTTGTTGTGTCCCTTTTTTGTTTGTTTTTTGTTTGTTTTTTCTTCTCTCTTTCCGCAGGTCTAGAAGCAGACTCTTGTTCATTATTGACTTTTGTCCATAGGCGTCATTTCAACCGGGGACGCCGGGGACATGTCCCCGGCAAAATTTGTGATTGGCAGCTGTGTCCCCCCCACTTTCAAAAACGCCTGCTGATGAGGATTTTTGTTTTACCAGCTCAGATCTTATCCAGGGGTCGGCACCCTGTTCCCATCAAAGAACCATTATTACCCGTTTCCCACGGTAATTTTGGACGGACCTTAATAAGCAGTGACTTAAGTGAAGCAGGCAGGTCGCGCTAGAAAATTTAGTTTAAAAAGATGTCATAAATGTGTTCCCCCGTCATTTTTATTACTAAAATATGAAGTAAAAACTCACAATTTAATTTTCATTCATTTGTCATTAATATGTAGTCTACACCCGTGCGTTAAGTGGACCATCTTCCAGTGAGTGAGTGAGTGAGTGAGTGTGTGTGTGTGTGTGTGTGTGTGTGTGTGTGTGTGTGTGTGTGTGTGTTTTCCACTTCAAACACTGGTCTAACCAACCAGACCAGCGTGTCCAGTAACATATTAATGTTACAATTAAACAGTTTCACTTCATGTAGGCTAGGAACATTTCACCTGCCGTGGCCCGACCGCTTCTGCTCCACATAAACTTTGTGCGTGATCAAATGTCTCTACGCGTCATGCGGAAGACGGGAACAAGCGCTGTTCAGCCAAAGTTTCATAATTTCATAAAAAGAACATTTTCCAAGTGGCACATCCCTCAGAGAGACCGGGTTTCCAGAACGCTTCAGTGGGAGGAAATCATCGCATGCGCGTGGTTCTGCACTGCGCTGCACTGCGAACCGATCTTCAGCTCACTGTCCACCGGGGGCGCTCCGAGCCGCACTGAACACAGTGTCCAGTATAAAGAGCTCTGATGTTCTGATGGGAATATTTTACCTCCGCGTGTGCGTTAACGATTAAAATGTCAGCTCATCCATGTGCATCCGTGTGCGTCGGGGTAATTTTTTCAAACCAAGCAACATCCTTGAGTACATCTGTCAAAATAAACAGTCAAATGGAAATATATGTAACCTGCCGTTTAACTGTTTTGCCTTCCTGTGAAGATTGTTGCAAAGAGAAACAATTAAACTTGATTAACCCCAGAGCCACGCAGAGAACCATGCAGTGCGCATGCGGGAAGGTTCCTCCCACTGAAGCAAGTGTTTTCCAAACCCGGTCTCTCAGAGACTTGTCACTTAGAAAATGTTCCCTGATGATGAAACTTTGGCTGAATAGCGCTTGTTCCTGGCTCCAATGTGGCGACACATCCAGGAGCCGTCTGAGGAGAAGCCCAGAATCTCACATCCTCTTCAGCTCATAAAGTGCCCATATGATTACGCACAAGCGTGACCGGTCAACCACCGCAGACCGGGTTGGACCTGTTCAGGTTTACGCAGACAATCTTTACATTTAGAATTGGCATACAGGTGTAAAATTAATGCAGTAAAATATAAAGCATTTTATTTAAATATCCATTTATTATTTTACAAGCACAGAGAGTTGCATCAGATGGATGGAAGAGCCGCATGCGGCTCCAGAGCCGCGGATTGCCGACCCCTGTGCTAGCCTACTTTATTGTCCCCAGCAATTTTTAAACCCCACTCAAGTGTATGGTTATTGTCCCCAGCAATTCTGACAACAAACTGACGCCCTTGCTTTTGTCTCATCCCTTCTCTTTCACCTCTGTCTCCGTGTCTGGCCGAAATTAAAAAGCATTCAACAACAATAACAATAAAGTTTTAAGTATCAGGCGTGACATTAAAAGCAAACGCTTTGATGCTCCACCTGAGAGTAAATCTGTAAGGCTTGTCACCAGCATTCAGACATTAATTCTGTTTGCTTCACAGCCAGACAGGACACGGAAAAAAAAAAAATTAAAAAATCTAGCACAGGACGTTGCGTCATCTCATTCTCAAATATTAGTTGGATTCTGGAAACGGAAGATCTCCATTTCTCACCACTGTCCCGACATGCACCTGAGCCAGGGCTCAGGTTGTTTCTAAACGGTTGTTCATAAAATTTCACACAAAATGGTAAACAGGTGAATACATTAAATTTGAGAACAAATCCCTATAACTCCTACAAAACACATTAGAGGGGACATTTTTTTTGTCATAATGGTCTATATACAAAAGTATGAAAAGTATGTATTTTGCATAAAATTACCCTCACATAAAGCAGTTTCAGCAGCTTTATTCTTGAAAATGTCAGCACCTTTTATCCGTTTCTGGGCTATAGGGAGCCTAAGTCACGCCCACCTACTTCCGGCCCACGGATCCCAGGAAAAAATGAATGTAAGTCAACGGGGCTAAAAACGCTATAATCTAATTCCGCTTGTTTTGTGCCACGGATTTCACACATGATGTCATTTCGATACCAAGAACACGCTTATTTTCGAACGGGGGGACGGACGACAACACACACACACACACACACACACACACACACACACACACACACACACGCTATTTTAGGTTTTGTGTGAAAATAAGTCCAGGACTACAAATGCCCTTCACCAAAGTGACGTCATCGAACCAGACATGCAGAACACTGAGGGAAAAAGGGCTGTAAGTTCAGCGAACTTCAAATCCTTCCTTTAGGAGGAAAAAAAGACCATAAAACTAACCATGTGGTGAAGAACCATCTTAAAGTGACAATGTGTAGTTTTTAACCATTAATCTCTGGAAATATTCATCGAAATGTTGTACGACTTAAAAGATGCCCAGTTGTTGAAAAATGTTTGCAGTTTCGCAACATATAACCATAAAAATCTGTTCTAAAATACACGGGGGCGGGTCTAAGTCTGTGGGCGACGCCATATTGGATGCCATGTCCTTTTACGGAAGCCCGTGAGGAGCAAACACATTTACTGATTTGTAACAAATGGTTACAAAAGTTTCACTGTTAATAAATGTTGTTGTCTTACACATTTACCGCTTCACTCACTGCCAGCGATGGAAGGGAATCTGATGTGCTCGTTATTCTGCTGGAGGTTGCACTCCCAGGGATTTCTGGCCCTAATGGCCATTCGTTGGTAAGGTCTTATTTGAACACAAAAATAATGCTTGCTAGCATGGACTTGGGTATCTACTGCCCCCATCACCAGGGAAACTACACATGGTGTCTTTAATTATAAAATGTGTAAATCTTCTTTCAGGCCAAACCATTAACTCCCGAGCCAAGCTAGCTCGTGCTAATCTGTGAGTACGGACCCTTCTCTCATCTGTTTATATTCTTATACAGAAAAGGTACAGCTCCCTTCATCGGAAGAGGTTTTCTGGCTAAATCAGTTGTGTATTGTCTATGGTTCTCAAAATAAGCTGCACTGACCAAACCACTCGGTGGAAATAAGGCACAAGCATTCTGCCTGGGAGTGGACCACACACACACCAAAAGATTCCTGCAGGTTGTTGTTGGGACATGGCCATTGCACGCAAGTTCTCGGATAGTTTTTCGGATAGTTTTTCTCTGACTGTGAACATGTGCGGGGGTTTGTGTTGTTCAACTTGTGATCACCTGCTTTTGTCTAAACCCAAGGTGCGTTGTAAATCCAGAGGGGAGTGGGTGTTGTCTTAAGCTTGGTTTATGCTTGACGCGCCCGCAAGGTCCGCACGGCTCCGCGCGGCAAAATTGCGTCATTTTAACAACCACGCCCCTCCACCGTGCCTCCGCACGGACCAAACTTTCCGCAGCGCGCACCTAGGAAATTTTCTAACCACGCGGACGGTCGGACGCGGAAAAACATGGCGGACTGGCAAGAACTAGCATGGCAGAGGTTCGTAAATACAGACATTTGTATGATTCAGCTCTCAGAGATCACCGTGATCAACATGTTGTTAATAATTCTTGGAGAGAAATAGCTCGCACTGTCGGAAAAGACGAGGACGCTGTTAAAAATACCATAATGCCATGTTGTAAACAGTAATTTCTACTTCTACTATGGTGTAGTGTTGGATGCATGCCGTAGAGCTCCATGCTGCCCCCTACAGTTTGGGAGAATATTGGCTCACTGCGGAGACGAGCCGCATGAACCATAAACGCTGCAAGTTGTGAAGCGCGTTCCATCCGCGAGCCGCATCACCAAGCGGAAAGTGAATGCGTCAAGCATAAACCAAGCCTTACGCTGCTCCGAAACTCTGGAATGAGCTTCCTCTGCACGTAAGGCAGGCTCCATCGCTAGTTTGATTTAAGTCCATTACTTTTATTTTGCTTTTGATTTGATCTCCTTGTATTTCCCTGTCATTTTTCTCTGCCTGGAATTTTCTTCACTGTTGTATTTTGAATCAGCTGTCATGGCGCGCTAAAGAAATAAACGTGGTACGGTATGGTTATCCCGCTTTAAGGTGAAACAGAACACAAGTTCTAAAGTGAACATTATCCATCACAGCCTAGTCCAACACAACATGCAAGTGGATCACAGCAAATCATGCATAAATTAAAATCCAACCCAGGAAACAGAAGCAGCTGTTCTCCAGAGCAACAAAAACCTAGACCAACAGTTGAAAGGACAGCAGCTCCAGAGTAAATTAGAGCAGTTGTTAGAGGAAAAGTCAGTATAATAAAAGAGTGGATGTGTTAGAGGACAGCGGTCAGAGTCACTCAGACATTATGGAGAACCCTAACCCTCAACTGGGTATTTCTGCAAAACCCAGATGGACACTAGCTGCTGCTTGGAGCTACTCAGTTCATCCAGTTCTGTTAGAGTCAAGCTGGAGCTGAAGTCCACCAAGACAGCTGGAGGCTGGGTTTTGCAGAGTTCGAATCAAGTGGAGTCAGCGTTGATTTGGTTAAAAGGACTCATACAGTCAACAAATGAAGGAAAGGTTAATTTAGGTCAGGCAGAATGCAGAGATGAGACAAGTTCACGCACAATGTCTTCTGTCTTTCCTGGATGATGGAGAGGGGCCCGGCGCGTGAGCTGAGGTTTTGGTCGGACCCTTTGAGTGAGGCTGGAGCAGAGCTGGGACCCTCTGGAGAACAGCTTCCATCCCGAGAGTCCTCCCTCTGAAGGCATCTTACCGTGGTTGGCTGAATCGTCTCCTCCACTGATGAAGTCCAAGTCGGGTCCTTGTCTTCATGCCGACTATGTTTTTCATCCTCCTTCTCGTCCTCCACGCCAGGATCATGACGGAGCTTTGCTTGCACCTCCTCAAGCACAGGCTGACCTGGAGGGAGGGCATCCTCCAGGTGCAGATCCTGGACTTCTCTTGAGAGTAGGACCTTGTCCGGCTCTCCATCTTCGAACAACATGGCGGTCTGTGTCTGAGTGGACTTGTCCAGTGTTGCTGGTCTACTCTGAAGCCTTGTGGACATTGGAGGTCCCATAGGGCCATTAGAATTGTGCAGGATGCTGTCTGACAGTTGGCTGGAGGTGGTAAAGAGGGTGGAACATCAAACACTAGTCATCAGAAAAGCAGCCAGGATTAATTCAACACAACAACGGTTCTGGCATCAAGCTCCGATCATGGTGGGTTTGAAAAGAGTGAACTGATGCAGGGAAGCCTGCATCGGTTCACTCTGAACTCGGAGTGCTCATTTTAAATACCTGTGTGACAGTATAATACCATAAAAACACAAATTCTCTAAAATACCAATCATTTGTCACAGGTTGTAGTCTAGTTTATTGAATTTCTTCTCAAAAAATTTCTACTTGAAAAAAGAAAAACCAAAATAGAAACTTCTGAGTGTCCCAAAAATGCTGTGGTGCAAACATGCGGGCACAGGTGTGCGTTGGTTTTGATGCCACCTGAGGACAGTTCTGTAGGAGCACCGGGACAGGGTGGAGGTAAAGCCCGACAGCAGCGGTCACGCGATTGTTTAAGTACTCTTATAAGTACTCTTATTACTACAGAAGAGACCAAAAGTTCCATGCAACTTTCATTTGATCTGAAAGGAGGAACAGTTGCGAATTTTATAGATTTACTCCCTTTATTTTTACATTGATTGTAATGATTGATCTTTAAAAAGAGAACTCACTAAAGAAAGAGATGAGCGACACGTGGTGACCCTTAGGAAGCATCGGGTCAACGTGGAGGTAAAGGTCCAAAAAAGGGTGGGATTTTCAGATGCTCTGCAGTTTTTACTGAACGCAGCATTCGTCACACATCAGAAACAAACACGATGAGTCTGTTTGTAGAGGCTCACAGGTGCGTGATCTGAATGTCAGTCACCTGGCAGCAGCAGGTAGGTGGATTCCATCACTGGTTGAGGATGAAGAGAGTCTTCTGCTGCCGGCGCAACCATCTGAATACGCCTGGTTCAACACCCGGGCTGCACCTGGGTTCACTGAGGGGCATCAAACACATGCACTTGTTTACTCTAGAATAGAGGTCGACCAATATTGCCGAAACTAGGGCTGCACAATATATCGAAAAATTATCGTCATCGGGATAACAGGACGTGCGATAGGCCCATCGCAAAGCACGTCAAAAACGGCGATTAATGTTTGGTTCTAACATTTCCATCCGTGTCATACATCAGCTTTTTGTAAACCAGCTCTGTTTTTTACACAGAAGTGTTATTTGACCAATCACATGTAGCCCTTCTGATATGCGGCCAATCAGATGGGTCCGTTCACATAATACGCCCGCCCCCTACGTAGACCCTTACCCCCAAATTCCACTACCTCCGGTCCGCCCCCGCCTTCCGCAGCCGCTCGCTTCCGAACTCAATTTTTACTGGTACCCGCTCTACAACGGCTCCGCTGCGGTGCGGAGACCTGAGGGGGGCAAACAAGCATGCGCGGGATTTTTGAGATCTTGCGATACAGTCCGAGCAATAAACGCGGAAGTTAGATCCAAACACCCGTTGTGTGGGAGAAGCATCGGCAAGAAATGTTTAATCTGCCCATCATTTGTGTTGAGACATCAGCAGTGTTTGGATCAACAAAGTGTGACTACTTTGATAGTAGAAACTGTATTTATGGCTTACTTTTGTGCATTTAAACTTCAGCCGCCATTGATAGTTGTTAAAAGTTGTTAAACCTGTGCATATGAAACAAAAAACGCCTTTTGTTTATCGATTTATTGTGAAAAACGGAAAGTGTGCTTGCTCCTTTTCCTGTTGGACAGTTGTGATTTCTGTCCATTTACTGCGGAGGTGCTCCGGCGTCCGGCGAAAATAGGATCGCACTGCCGGAGCACGGCCGGAGCACGGCCGCAGTAGTGGAATTGCTCTGATTGACTACAACGGGACCGATTTTGCTCCGGCGTTCGTGTCGGAGCGGAGGTAGTGGAATTTGGGGGTTAGGATGGAAAGCAACACCCGAACTGAGTTAGCTGCGCTGTTCCCTTGTTCGTCATGCTGGCTCAGAGCAACAAACGCACTTTGTGCTGATGTTTCTGGAATCAGCGCTAATTTCAAACGTGAACGTGAGTCCGCTCGCTGTCGTTAAGCAGCTGATAATAACCGGGCTGACTCCGACACGTGCCGGTGAACCAACCCACCTTCATGTTGCTAGTCTTCCACCGGGTGGTGATGTTAGCCCCAGGCTCCGGTTAGCTTCCAGCTAAAAGGCTACAGCACTCTCCTCCCAGTCCCACCCTGCTAAAGAGGGCCTGGAAAAGTTCCCCCACACATCAAAGTGATTTTTCATTTATGAGCTTTTATAACCTTGTTTATCAGGATAGTTGATTTGCTGCTGCACATAAACTGTCAGTCAGAAGCTCTGCTAGCCGCTTATCTTAGAGGAGCTAGTTCAATTTGTTAGCTTGTTATCAGAATCATAGTCGCAGTTTCATCATCTGAGCTGCTTTTTAAGATCTAGGTAAACTTGTTCAATTTGGGGTTAAAAACAAACGTTTTCACATATTTTCCATGTAGTTTTTTTGCCAGTTCCTCTTCTGAAAGGTAGACAATTGTTTTTCTCTTTCCCTCAAAAAATCCTAATATTCTCCTAGTTTGGCCCAGCACAGTTCACTTCCCAATTACAGCAACAGCCTTATATCATAACCACATAAGTGGAGAAAATGCTCAGTAGCAATGAGAGAATTTGCTGTTGCATTTAAGTGATGTTAACTATTATTTAACATTTAAACTATTTATTCAAAAAACCCTGCTATGCGATGTTTTTCTGTATTTGGAGCATCAGAAAAAGTTTTATGGTGGAGGTGATGTTTTAAAGTCACTGAGAAACTGCATGCATGCAGTTTGTTGTTTTGCTGTTAATCCAGTAGCAGGTGCAGCTGCTAATACAGTAGCGGGTGCAGCTGCTAATACAGTGGCAGGTGCAGCTGCTAATACAGTAGCAGGTGCAGCTGCTAATCCAGTAGCGGGTGCAGCTGCTAATCCAGTAGCGGGTGCAGCTGCTAATCCAGTAGCGGGTGCAGCTGCTAATGCAGCAGCAGGTGCAGCTGCTAATCCAGTAGCAGGTGCAGCTGCTAATACAGCAGCGGGTGCAGCTGCTAATACAGCAGCGGGTGCAGCTGCTAATGCAGCAGCGGGTGCAGCTGCTAATACAGTAGCGGGTGCAGCTGCTAATCCAGTAGCGGGTGCAGCTGCTAATGCAGCAGCGGGTGCAGCTGCTAATCCAGTAGCGGGTGCAGCTGCTAATCCAGCAGCGGGTGCAGCTGCTAATGCAGCAGCGGGTGCAGCTGCTAATCCAGTAGCGGGTGCAGCTGCTAATCCAGTAGCGGGTGCAGCTGCTAATACAGCAGCGGGTGCAGCTGCTAATACAGCAGCGGGTGCAGCTGCTAATGCAGCAGCGGGTGCAGCTGCTAATACAGTAGCAGGTGCAGCTGCTAATACAGTAGCAGGTGCGGCTGCTAATACAGTAGCAGGTGCGGCTGCTAATACAGTAGCAGGTGCAGCTGCTAATACAGTAGCAGGTGCAGCTGCTAATACAGTAGCAGGTGCAGCTGATAATACAGCAGCAGGTGCAGCTGCTAATACAGTAGCAGGTGCAGCTGCTAATACAGTAGCAGGTGCAGCTGCAAATCCAGTAGCGGGTGCAGCTGCTAATCCAGTAGCGGGTGCAGCTGCTAATGCAGCAGCGGGTGCAGCTGCTAATGCAGCAGCGGGTGCAGCTGCTAATGCAGCAGCAGGTGCAGCTGCTAATACAGCAGCGGGTGCAGCTGCTAATACAGCAGCGGGTGCAGCTGCTAATGCAGCAGCGGGTGCAGCTGCTAATGCAGTAGCGGGTGCAGCTGCTAATGCAGCAGCAGGTGCAGCTGCTAATACAGCAGCAGGTGCAGCTGCTAATACAGCAGCGGGTGCAGCTGCTAATACAGCAGCGGGTGCAGCTGCTAATGCAGTAGCAGGTGCAGCTGCTAATACAGCAGCAGGTGCAGCTGCTAATACAGTAGCGGGTGCAGCTGCTAATACAGCAGCGGGTGCAGCTGCTAATGCAGTAGCAGGTGCAGCTGCTAATACAGCAGCGGGTGCAGCTGCTAATGCAGTAGCAGGTGCAGCTGCTAATACAGCAGCGGGTGCAGCTGCTAATGCAGTAGCGGGTGCAGCTGCTAATACAGCAGCGGGTGCAGCTGCTAATGCAGTAGCGGGTGCAGCTGCTAATGCAGTAGCAGGTGCAGCTGCTAATACAGCAGCGGGTGCAGCTGCTAATGCAGTAGCAGGTGCAGCTGCTAATACAGTAGCAGGTGCAGCTGCATATTTTTGCAATAAAAATGTTATGTTGTAATGGAATTCATGCATTAGTTTTTGTTTGCTTTGAACCCAGAGCAGACGTCACACGCCAGACGACATCAACACTGCATACTTTAGTATTTGTTCATTTATCGTGAGTAATATCAATATCACAATATTAAGCACTGTTACCGAATATCGCAGGTTTTCCTAATATCGTGCAGCCCTGGCCGAAACCGATATGTGCTGCCGATTTTTAGCTTTACTAATGAGGAATATTGGCCAATTCCAACTCGGCCCAACATATCGGTCTACCCCACTCTAGAACCTGAGCTTTTTGCCAGGAACAGAAAACAAACATGACAGAACGAGGTCCCGTCCAAGCTGGTCTTTGTTCTGGAGCTTCTTACCACCGGACCTGCTGTGAAAGCCCACCTGCTATCAGCTGCTGCTTCAGTAACGGGAGGAGCTGATCGTGAACATGTATCCGGCGTAGAGCATCAGCCAGGGAGGACTTCAGCAGTGTGATCTCATCCTCCTGTGCCTGCAAACGCACCTCCATCGCGGAAGCTCGATCAGGATAATCAGCACAGCTGTCTGCTGATACATCAT